AGAATCTCTGGGATCAAAATGTATGCACATAAATTCATTGTAATTTTAAACATATTTTCATAAAATTTTAATTTGTAAAAGAATATGCTGCATACAATCTACAAATAATACACAATGTTTCTCATTTAAATTGTCTATAATTTATCAATTTTTACAGGATGCCTTTGTAATTTGCCACTCTTGTGTCTGCAGGGAACCTGTGGACACAATTCATCCATGACTTAATACAATCAGACAATTAATGTTTGGTCACTACCGCATTCAGCAGTCCCTTGAGTCACTGAATGGATATGGGCTATCTGTCAGGAGAGGACGTGTGAAATGGCTCAGAGTTAATTTGCCTTCTGGAAGAAAACCCCAGGAGTTCCCTTCCTATTGATAGGTTCAGAATCAGAAGTCCCATCCAGGGGGTGCAGCTGGCATGGGGACATCACCTCTCAGCTGCAGTCCCGAGAAAGGCAAGACATGTGCCTCCAGGGCACTTGCCAGCACTGAAGTTCCTCCTCATGCTGATTTGGTGAGCTGCTCATTTTCTTGGTAGTAAACAGTACCTTTGAAATAACCCAAGCCTCCACATTGCCCAGAGCCCTGATGCTAAGATGCAATGCTTAGAGGACTAGGCAACCCCTGGCCCGTGCTTTCACTCGCATCTTATTGGGGGGAACACCTTAATCCAATCCTTTGTAAAACTCACAGGGCACTGCCCAGACTGAGGTGTCATATGCTATGGCACTTGGACTGCAACACAAAGATAGCGTGTTTTCTGTGGTAGCATCCAAAGCATGGCTTTTGAGTTTCTCTTGGCTGAAGGATACGATACATGTGTTAACAGGCCCAGGGAAGAAGGAACGGAGAAGGAATATCTGGGGAGACTGCCCGGGAGATGGGACACTTGACAGCTACTTGGCACTGAGTTGTCTACATTCAGCCCTCACCATCCAGCCCTGTACTTGAGGGATGACATTCCTTTGGGTGGCAGGAAGATAGAAATAGGATGAGTACTTCAGACAAATTAAGCAACATCTGAAGGAGTTGCTGGTAGACTGGGGCCCAGACAACAGTGCAGGGGAGGGAGAAAGTACCTAATAGGAGAGGAATGAGGCTGAGTAAGAAAAGAAAGAAAATACACACAACATATAATACACACACACACACACACACACACACACTGTATGTATGTGTATGTGTGTAAAAGATCACTGCAACAGTTCAGTAGCCATCCTTAGTAACCTATCAGTATGGACAGCTATGTGCCAGGTAAGCTTCCATGGGACAACAAAACCTAAAGAAAAGACAAGCAAGCCACAATAGCATATGCTGTTAAGTGACAGGTCAACCAGGAAGCATGCCAGTGACTTAGAGCGCCTGATCTTTACGCCCTGGGATAGTTGAGGTCCCTAAGGGGAACCTTGAGCCTGAACTAGAACAATGAGTGGTATTGGAGAGGAAGCTTGCTACAGACAAATAATAGCAGAAAGGATACAGGAAGTCTATTCGAACTGTGAGCATTATACCACTATCATTCACTATCATTCAGGGCTCTTCTACTTGGCATCACTTTAGGAATGATCCCACTGTCCTTCACAAGTCCAGCTATGCCTTGGAACGATCAACCCCTAGAGAGCTCACAGGATCACAGGAGCTCTTACTATGGCTAGCTAAATCAATGTTGGGTGTCAGTGTGTGTAGTAAAGTATAAAATGTAACCCTTGCCTTCAAGGACAAAGATGATGCCCTGATCAATGTCCAGTGAGTTTTCAGGATGGCTTTGCAGCAGTAAAGGCTCACCACTGGTAAGAGGGAGTGAGCTCTGGGCAGCACAGACATGAGAACCGCCAGATTTGGTGTCTATCAAGATACATTTGGGATGGACCAAAAGGTCTTTTTGGCAACTCTGTAGTTTTCTCAGAACTGGTTCCCAGGAAACATCCACCAGCCTTCCCAGCATATTCCTTCATCAGCTTGGGAGCATCATCAGTCTGTAGCCAATCACCTGTTCAGAATCAGAAGTCAAAGTAACTGTAGACTATGTCTTAATACCGCCCAAAGTAGACTGCCCAGTACCACCCCATCCAATAGGGGGGGTCTGTCTCAGGCTCTGCAAAAGATCCTGGAAACAAGTAGAGCCAGGACAAACTGAAAACAAAAGCAAGGTAATCTGTGTGCATCACCTCTAACTAGTCAATGAGAAATCTGAAAGTTCACCCTGGCTCTTAACGAGCCAGTTAGAGGTGAGTGGAAAGCACAAGCTGAGACCAGCTGAAAGACAAACTTGTCTTGGCACCCTGCAGACCTGTGACAATGTGGGTTCAGTCATGAAAGAGCAATCTATGAAGGAGTGGAGGAATGTCCCAAGTTGTTTCAGCAGACTTGCTCCCCGTATGACAGAACTGACAGGTCCCTGTCACTCATGTCACAGTGAGATGAAACAATATTAGGGAGAAAGCTGGTTAAGTAGGGCAGCTGGAGAGCTGAGATGGCAGATTTGCATTTCCTAAGGTGACTCACTGTGGCACATTTGGCCACTGGCTTCCTCAGACAACTGAAAGCCAAATGGATAAGAAGCTTTTTGGAGCCTTGAGGTTCTGGGCTCTGAATTATAGTTAGAAAAACTTCTTTTCAAAACAAAAACAGCCAGGAGGTGATGGCACACACCTTTAATCCCAGCACTTGGAAAGCAGAGGAAGGCGGATCTCTTAAGTTCGAGACCAGCCTGGTCTACAGAGTGAGTTCCAAGACAGAGCTACACAGAGAAACCAATCTCAAAAAATAAACAACAAAAAGACAAAAGAACATCCTAGGATATTTAGAAATATAGCTGTGTGTCACTTAACATTTCAGTCAATGAAGGACCGCCCATGGTATCGGTCCCAAAAGACTGTATTACCTAGCATCATCATGACCATCCTTGTTTGTCCAAGCATGCTCTGTGATGCACACTCAAGTGACAACACAGACTGACGAAGCCCCTTTGTTCCGAGGCATGTGACTGTCTTTCAAGGAATCACAAGCTCTAGGACTCTAATGGAGGAAATCACAATTCTTGTTTCTACAATAGCTGAAGCTTATTTTCTACCACAGGCTGACTCCAGAGAAGCAACTTCAAAACCTCCATCTAGTCAAGAAAAAACAAGGAACAGAAAAAGCTTGCACCCCACTTACGACTCTCTTTAGAGGTCTTTCTCTTGAGCCAGCCTAGTGCATAATCAAACAAGAGTTACATGAAACGTGGTCATTCTCACTACGGCCTTTAGCCTCCGACATTACCCTTATTAACCAAGCAATGTGCAACTCAACCCTCATATTAATTGAGAAACCCCATTTTCTCAAACACCCTGCTAGAAAGCAAAGTAGAAGCACAATTTCCCCTGCGTTAGTACTCACATGGCAAAGGGTCAAGGAGCTGACTGAGGAACCCATGGGAAGGTGTCTCAAAGAAGACACCATATATGGAGTCTGGTCATTGAGAAATAGGATAATTCGTCCTCATATCACTCTCGTAAAGAACTGTGCAATAATTTTCCAAGCAACTGACTCATGTTTTAACACACAGGGTTGCTAAAGATGTTAGAGAAATATCTGGATCTAGGAGAATCTGGCAACACTCTCAGAAAGAACAGCAATTTTTTTTTTTTTTTGTAATCTTAAATGTTAAGATACATTTTCAAATATTAAGGATATATATGTGTACTGGAGGAAAAGTGTCTGGCAAGCCGACAGAGTCAGCCAAGGGAAACAGATCAACTGGCTGGCGAGTTGTGGCCATTCGGACATTCTCCGAAAGGCTCTTTTTACCCCCTCTCTTGGACAGATGTAAAAATGTTCACAATTCCTATCACTCTGTCCCGAATTGACCCTAAAGATGGCACCTGTCCTTAGATACCTCCAAAGGGTCTAAATGTTTTCATGATTTCTCCTTCATGACCTCCAAACCCACCATGGGCATTCTGGAGCACTAACTGGTTCTCCCAAGTATTGCCATGAAATAGCTCCATGCCTGACTCGGCAATGGGTCTGGGGAAGTATCCTTTAAGGCACTGCATTAGGCCAGGCAACCGGCAAGCTGAGCTGTGCTCTCAGCCGTTTCCTTGTATACAGGGCACCAGTGTTCCTTTTCCTGTCTTGTTTCTTCATTCACTGAGTATCTATCCCATGCCCACTATGCACCAGAGTTAGTAGTCGGTGCCGTCTGAGTAGGGGTGAACAAGAGAAAGTCTCCTCAGAGCAGACAACTTAGACAACGATTAGTGCAGCAGAAAACAAACTGGGTAAGAGAATTCAGCTGGATGTAGGATGGGGCAGGGAAGACGAGCCTGCTTCAGATACTCAAGACAACACCAGAAGAGCTGACAGCTCAGTGGAGATCTGAGACGACAGCCCCTAAGGAAATGCTCTCCAAGCCAAGGGGACAGACATGAGGGTCTGAGGTGACAGACTTGATCTGCTCCACAACTGTATCAGAAATTGTACAGCTCAGGATTTGTTTGCCCCCACTGTGTTTCATCTTGGTAGCACCAGCATCCGGTGGACCTTGACTCTCCCTGATACTCACACTCTCCACCCCAGTTTTCTTTAGAAGAGAGAAAGTATGGTAAAAAGCATTTTAAAAGTATGTAGGGCAGGGAACAACCAGGAGAACATTTAGTTCAATCCTTTATTTAGGATGACTAAACTAAGACTCTGCCACCTCCTCAGCACTTAGGGTAGAAGCTAAGCCTCATGCCCACTGCTTTCCCATGGGCTCTCAGTCCCCAGGACACAGTGCTCCGTGGGATACACTTGGGCCATCCTTGGTCAGGGAGTGTCTAGCCACTGCAATCTGATTTCTAGCCAGCATTACGCCTCCAGGGGCAGACACTTAGTAGGTGATGCTTGTACCAGGCCCAGGGCCTTCAGTTACAAGTCAAATGTGTACCACATTCAAAGACCACGTTAGTAAACATTTTTCTCTGTTCTTAGCTCTTATAGACTATCTAACTGAATTAAAAATGTTAAAAATGTTCACTCATAAATAATATATTTGGTATATTAAAAATGAGACACATCCAAAAGTCACAATTGCTCATTTACAGATTCCATAACAAAATAGGCATCTTAAAAATTCAGTACTTCAAAACACTTTTTTACAATAGTTTCCATCAAAGAAGAAAATAGAAATGAATTACAATTATATGCACAGTTTCAGCAATATGGATGAGATGTAAAAACTCCACGGTGTTTTCAGGTATGTTTTCCTCCCATGCTGGAGAAGGGACCAAGAATGTACACACCCTACAGAGTCCCCAAGAATGGGGTATCATCGGGATGCACTTCCCCTCTGTGAAAGACACAGCTTTCTGCAGGCGGCATCAAGTATCAAACCACTTGCTTCTCTTCATAAGGGGTGGTCCCTTAGAAGGACCCAACAATTTCTGCTTATACTGTTCAACCAGTTGGTTGAAGTGGGCTTCTGCCTTATTTTCCTTAGCTTTCTTCTTAGGTGCCTGTGAAAAACAGGAGACATAAAACAATCAGTCTTTCCCTTTTTCTTTCTTTCCCTCCCTCCCTTTGCTTTCTTGTTTTCTTACTTGCCTGCCTTCTTTTCTACAGACCTGAAACTCACTCTATACTTGAGGAGGACCTTGAACTCCTGACCCTCATCTATCCTCCTTTAAAGGACCACCATGCTTAGTTAATTTCAAACACTAAATATCACCTTACTGTCAAGACACCCCAAACAGAATATAAGCTGGTACACTAGGAAGACGATTTCTAAAGAGAAACCTAATTTGAACATCCTTGTTTGCTCTTGCCCCAAGAATTCCATTTATAAAATTTCAGAGACTAGATCTCTACAACATAATATGATATGGTCAGAAATTTCCCACAGACAGATTTGAGTAGGACAGGGTGCTAGTGACTCTTCTACTCTTAGAGGGAAGGAAGAGAAAGCTTGACCTCAAATGCACAAGAACCCAGGACTAGAGCTGGAGAGATGGCTCAGGGTTAAAGGCACTGGCTGCTCTTCCAGAGGATCCAGAACCTGTTTCCAGTACCCACAATGCATCAAAAAACCACCTGTATCTCCAGACCTAGGGGATTCAATGCCCTCTTCTGGTCTCTGTCACATCACCCATGTCTGCAGTACAGAGACATACATGCAGGCAAGAGACCCATACATATAAAAGAATGTCTTTATTTAAAAAAAAAAAAAATAGAGCACAGGACCATTAATTTCTATTCAAAAGAACTAGAGCTCCTTGGGAAAATGGCTATTGCCAGAAACTGGGAAAGAAACCACATAAGATGGGCCTAGAACATCTTGTACAAGAAAGCAACATTACCAAAGACAGACAAGGTCATTTCAGAAGGACAGGGAGCCGACCCAAAGATGCTTCTGTTGCCTTAGAACAAGAATGATGACCACATTTGATTGAAACACAGTGAGTTACAGGAAAATTTGGGATTCCATAATACTTAATACAGACATACATACATACATACATACATACATACATACACACACACACACACCAGCCTCACAAGCCACATAGCAGTTCACTTCTCTGAAACTGATAGAGCAAGAGGAAGGAAAAAAAATCATCTAACTTGTCTTTCCTATATGTAAGAGTCTCCTTTCTACAAGTCTTAGAACTCTATTTTTAAGTGCAAAGGGGCTGTCTTAATTGGAAAATCACCATTCTGTAACCCATTATGAAATCACAGGTGTACATGATAATCCCTTGTTTTTAAAAGCCAAAGGTGAGCAGTTAGGGACATAGGTCAACAGTAGAGCACTTTCTAAGCATGACAGCAGCCTTGTGATGGGGGATGTCCTGCCTGTATGCTGTAAATATATGTTTCTCTCATTGGTTTAGTAAAATGCTGACTGGCCAGCAGCCAGGCAGGAAGTATAGTGGGGCTGCCAAACAAGGAGAATGCTGGGAAGAGAAACAGAGAAGAACACCTTGGAGCTACAGGGAAGATAGGACACTGGGCATTCTCCGGTAAGATAAGGCCATGTAGAAATGCACAGATTAATATTTATGGGTTAGTAATTAAGAGAGAGCTGGCCATTTAGAAGTCTAAGCCATTGGCCAAACAGTTTATAATTAATATAAACCTGTGTGTTTATCTGGGGCTAAACGGAAGCAGGACTAGGCAGAACAGAAACTCTGTTAACAGCCTTGGGTCAGACCCCTAGCACTGCAAAGCCAAAAAACTAAACAGTAACTGAGAAGATGGGAGGGGATTTTCTCAATAGAACAATAAAGTGGACAATTCTGACACCTACTGACTGATCTTGGCATTACTAACAGTGAAGTGTTCTTTCCAAGAAAACTAAATCTGGTTATACCTCTAGACTGTTCTACCAGCTGACAGTCAAGACAAGGTGCCCCGGGGACAAGTGACATGATACCATAAGGAAGTAAGCAGCTGAACTCAACATAAAATACATCCTTAAAGACAAATGACTGTTTATCCAACAAATTAACAACACCAACACGGGGAGAAAGAATGTGGTAAGAAAGGATAAACACCATAGGATGAAGAAAGGAAGGCAGGGAAGGAGGAAGGGATACCACAAATGTCATGTGTGGACTTTGTTAGCATCCTAACAGGCACTAACCAAAAATAAAGAACACTGTTGAGGCAATTAGGAACATTTTAATAGGGGCTATATATTAGAGAGTATAAGGAGCTTCTGATTAATCTCAGTAGATACGATAATGACATTGTGCGTGTGTTTGTGTGACGAGTTGGCCATTAGAAATGTAGTCTCAAGTTTTTCTGAGCAATCTATCTATTGAGATATATTTACGTGTAGGATTTGCTTCCATACACTGCAGAGGGGGAAAGCAGGTACAGGAAACAGGAAACACAAGATAACTGCTCAAGCAGATCGACAAGTCATAGAGGCTTACTTTCCTCTCCATTACTGAACCTCACCCTCTGAAGAGCTGCAGCCCGGAACGGAGAAGCCTTACTTCAGAAAGGTGACGATCTGCTCAGTCCCACAAAGCCACAGCACCCAAACCACAAGCCCCACGGAACTCACCTGCAAAGAAGGTAACTGCTGCTGCTTCTGTTTCCGCTGGCCTGTCTGGGGCTTTGACTTCTTAGGAGGAAGGGACTTCACTTTGCCTTTGTCCCGCAACCTGAAATAAGACAGCCAGGTATATGCTGCATTAATTCTTTCTCTGGTTAGTATCCTTAGCCTCTCTCTCTTTCTCTCTCTCTCTCTCTCTCTCTCTCTCTCTCTCTCTCTCTGCCGCTTCTTATTTAATTTAATTTATTTAATGTGCATTGCTGTTTTGCCATGGATGTTGGGTTCCCAAGAACTGGAGTTACAGACAGTTGTGAGCTGCCATGTGAGTACTGGAAATTGAACCTTGGGTCCTCTGGAAGAGCAGTCAGTGCTCTTAACCACTGAGCCATCTCTCTAGCCCCATCCTTGGAATCTTTTAAAGAACTCAAGAGACAAATTTCTTTAATACATAGCTGTTTCTTTTTTGTTTGTTTTTTCAAGATAGGTTTCTCTATGTAGCCCTGGCTGTCCTGGAACTAGATCTGTAGACCAGGCTGACCTTGAATTCAGAGATCCGCCTGCCTCTGATGCCCAAGTACTGGGACTAAAGGTGTGCACCATAACCACCTGGCTTAGTCACTCTTAAATGGAGTCTACAACCGTATATATATCCTAAGTCACAATAGTTATATATTCGTTTGTCTCTATTTATTTTTGCTAAGACTTCAATGGAAATCACGAAAACTATCATTTACTTACCAAGATTTTTTTTGGGGGGCGGGATATAATGGTGTGTGGTGGTTCAAGATTTTTTTTTTTTAAGATACATAGCACTAATCTACTGTCACAGCACTGAATGTACATAACACTAATCTACGGTCCCAAAGAGAAAGAATAAGCGACCCTCAGCTGACATGAAAAGCTCTGAAAAGACAAGGATGGCATGCAGTCTGCCCTGATGGTTCCTCCAAGGTTCCCTCTACCATCTGATCCAAGGCAACATTTCTGCTGGGGCTGAGACCTTTCTGTTAACTTCGCATGGGGAACTAGCACCGCCCCAACACCCTCTTCATCTAACAAATGCTACAGAGAAAAAGAGCTGCATCAAGACAAATGCACTTAGAAGCTCCCTCCTCTACAGAGCTCTCCTGCATCTCACCTAATTTTGGGGCCTCGGTGTGAAGGGAGTGCCAGGACCTTTCTTCTCTTCTTCCCATCAGGCAGCTCCACCTGCTCCACTTCAGCCTTGGTCTGGAACCCTGTCCACGAGGTGGGGCGGGCCTTCCCTTTCTGCTCTCCAGAAGCCTGGCTGGGATTCTGTGTAGGCCTCACTGCTTTCTGTTGCTTGTCTTTCCCATGTTCTTTTTGCTCCTTTTGGGGCTTACCGGTTACAGGCTTAGATGACATTTTTTGCTGCAGAAAACAAGAAATTGCCACCTGGTTTCTGGATGAGGTTACCTGATGAATACGCAGCAGAGGATGAGCCTGCTGTTGGGTGTGCTGAAAGAGGGACTCTTCCTCCACAGAGTTGGAGACTTCAGCAAAGTACATACAAAGCAGTTCACACCACTGCAGGGCAGACATACACACACTCTCTCTCCTCTCTCTTCTCTCCCCCCATCTCAAAACAAAACCAACAAAACCAAACCCAGAAACATTAAGCAGTAGCCCAAGATTCAAAAGCAGTAGGAAGGAACAACTGTCAAAAGTGAATCCTGGGCCAGGCATGACAACACACACCTGGAATCCTAGTCACTGGGAAGGAAGGAATGGATCTGGGCTATTTGAGATTCTGTTTCAAAAAACACCTGCCCCCCCCCACAACTGAGAACTACTTAACATAATACAGCTAGGAAATTTCAAAACACTGACAGACATTAAGCCAGAGCTCTAAGAGCTGAGAGAAAACCAACAAAACAAACACCCCAAGCTCCACAACTAGATTTATCAGTCACTTTGCAGTAAACAATGTATAGAAACAGAAGATAGCATGAGGTAGCTGAGGTTCCAAAAGACAAAATTACCAAATCTAGATTCTGTACCCAATGAAATTATCTTTCACAAAAGTGAATGACTGTCTCAGATAAAAACCAAACCAAACAAACAAAAAACAATTGCCAGGAAATCTGTTTTGCAAGAAATGCTACACAAATTCCTCCCGAGACCGGAAATGGCATAAACTGAAAACCTAGGTCAACATGAAGGTAAGAATGTCAGAGATGGGGTCAGTGAAGGAAGGAAGGAAGGCAAAGGGATGCTAGAGCTTCAAATGCAAGCATAAGGATGTTGAAGGTTTACCAGCACTGATCTAGGAAAAAGAGTCAAGTAAAATGAATGTAAAAATAAATGTTATTTTGCCATTTGTAATTTAATCTAAATAGGCATGTTGATACAATATTAATTAAATGCCTACTGTGCACTAGTCTGTCTGTAAGATACAGTTACAAACAACAAAATGTTTACTTTTAGGATTCCCAGACTAGTGTAAATAAAAGACATGTGGTGGTGTGAATGAAAATATCCCCCAGACTTAGGTGTCTAAACGCTTGGTCCCCAGATGGTGTTGGTTGTAGAATATTATTTTAATTAGGCAAAGATGCACATTTGCTTATGCTACATTTGTTTAATTTCGTAAACGTGTGTTGCATTTGTTTCACCTGGCCTGTCTAAGGTAACTGATTGGTCTAATAAAAAGCTGAACAGCCAACAGGATGGAGTGAGGTTGGCAGGCAGAGAGAATAAATAGGAGAAATCTAGTATCTAGAAGAGGAAGGAGAAGAGAGGAGAGAATGAAGGACATGCCCCTAGGGCAAGACGGGGGGGGGGGGGGGGGGGCGCACCAACACACACAAACAAAGGACAGCAACAAGAAACAGAAGAGACAGACGAGCTGGAGAGAGGTGGCTCAGAGGTTAAGAGCACTGAATGCTCTTCCAGAGGTCCTGAGTTCAATTCCCAGCAACCACATGGTAGCTCACAACCATCTGTAATGAGATCTGGTGCCCTCTTCTGACCTGCAGGCATACATGCAGACAGAATATTGAATACATAATACAATAAATAAATAAAATTAAAAAAAAAAAGAAGTGAGAAAGGTAATAAGCCTCAAGCCAAAAGGTAGATAAGAAGAAACAGGTTCATTTAAGTTAAAAGAGCTAGCAGAAATGAGCCTAAGCTAAGCCGAGCATTCCAAACTACTAATAAATCTCTGTGTCATGATTTGGGAGCTGGTTAGTGGCCTAAAGGAAAAAGCCCGGTACAGTTTGGGAAGGTTAAAGAGGTACAGTGAAGGAAAACACTAGCAAGGGCAGGCTTTGAGAGTTCATAGGCGTGCCCTGATTCCAGTTTGCTTGAGGCTTGCAGTTGAGGGTGTGGGCTCTCAGCTTCCTCCTCTGTGGTCATGCCTGCTGCTTGTTGCTAGGCCTCCCTGCCAGGATGGGGTCCTACCCTTCAGAAGCATGAGCCCAAATAAACTCTCCCTTTCCTAAGCTGCTTTCGGTCATGGTGTTTTATCACAGCGATAAAACAGTAACTAAAAGAAGACACACATAAATAAAATAAAAAACAAATAATCAAGGAAGTTGATGGAAGCCTATGTAATGAGGGCTTATCTTATAGTGGAAGGTTCACTTGCTGTGAATGAGGAAAGTGAGAAATGGCCCTGTAAGTCAGGAGAACAGACCACTTTATAATGAAAGTGCAGTATGAGAATAAACACAGGAAACAAAGAATTCAAAGAAAACACAGGCAGCTTCAGAAACCCCCCTGAAGCCTTGGCTAAAGGCAATATTATCTGGGGTAAAGAGTTGGCATGTACAAGGATAGGACCCCAGGTTCTCCATGAAGGCCACAGGTACTCCTCTCTCCACACTAACTGAAATGATCTAAAAATACCCAGTGTCATGCTGAGACTGGAGGATTTTGAGTTCAAGACAAGTTTAGACGACAAAGGGAGCCCCTGTCTCAGATGATGATTCTGAAACTTAACCTGAGCCACTAGTTTTGACACGGCCCCCACACACCATACAAGAGCTCATGATGGATCGGAACATCGGTTTGCATTCCTCCTATCTTGCCCTTCTGTGCAGCTCAGAAGAGAGACAGCAAAGAAGAAAACACCAGGGAGTCTTAGGAGAAACTGAGTAAAATCCTACTTCGCAGAAGCACAAATTTAAAAAAGGAAGTTTAATTAAGCTCTAAAAAAAAAAAAAAAAAGGGCTGGATATGACAGCATACACCTTAAATCCCAGCAGTTGAGGCAGAGACATCTTTGAGAGTTCTGGGTTAGCTAGAGCTACCCAGTGAGATTGTCATAAACAACCAAAACCAAACAAACAAAGCCTAGTAAGATGGCTCAGCAAGTAAAGGCACTTGCCACCAAGCCCAATGGCCTGAGTTCAATCCCAAGACACACATGGTAGAAAGAGAAAACCAACGTCCCCAAGTTGTCTTCTGACCTCCAGAAGAAAAGGTACAGACACAAAGGCATTTTCTCCCCCCACCCCCAACACACACCATAGATAGGTAGGTAGGTAGGTAGATAGATAGATAGATAGATAGATACATAGATAGATGACAAAACCAAACCCAATCAAACATTTAGGTTCAATACCAGGCTGCGTTGGATCCTCAGCTCCTTTACTTTAAGTTTCCTTCGATCCTCTAAAGAGAACTCCACTATCGGTCTCTGTCAGGGAGACAGAATGTCATTCGTAAGACTTTGTAACCTGTGAGTGCAATAAGCCTACTTGGTCCTTCCACCCAGCCTCTGTAAACATGGAGGCTGCTTCTCACGTCTTCTTTAATGCCAGTTCTGTAGGCAGTCCGTCCAGTCTACTCATTTTATAAGCATCTTCTTGCCTAGAGTTACCATCTATTTTCCCCACCTCCACCCAGACCACTTGGTACTCTTCCCACCATTCAAATATCGGGGGCACTGAACAGTTAAACCCTCAGAAAAATGGGGTCTCCCTGGAGGCTGAGGCTTACCTTCTGAGAGCCAAAGATTTCTGGGTTATTGTTGATATGGCGGAGGGCTCTGAGGGCGTGCTCGTGCTTCTGGAACTCTGCAAAGGCATAGCCCAGGGACTGACCCTTCGTTTTTCCATGAACTGCTTTAAGGTCCCGCATCACTCTACACTGTGAGTAGAAAAAGAAAAAAACAAACAGTAGTTATAAATAAGAAACAAAAAGAGAAAAAAAATTTAATTTTTTAAAATCTTGGAGGGAATGGTTCTACAACCAATGCACATATTGTACAATATACAGAAGTGCACTAAACTGTAACGGGTTCCAAATGGGCACATCTGAAATACTGTAGGTACTCATCACTAACAGTACTGTCAGCCGTGTTCTGACTGGTTAACATTCTCTCGTGTTATTTCCTCAATATCAAGGAAAACATTTTAAAGAAGCTTTTCAGTACTAGGCATACAGTTTATGACTATGAAACAGCAAAGCACACCTAAAATATTGGCAATGACATTTTTAAATATAAAGATTAATAGACTACTCTATGCCAAGTGGCAACAGCAAGATTGGGGATAATGAGATAATATTTGTCCTCAAAGAGCTCAGTCAGTCTGGAGAAACAACCAAGTTTCCCATCAGTGTAAACAGTAAGGGCTTCAAGAGACAGAGCTGAACGAAGTACTCATGTGAACCCAGAGTTTCTAATTCAACTGAAGACGCCTGGTCCTCTGTGCTGACTGTAGGGTATTATGTAAGTCTCATATAGTTAAACCCTGTTTTAGGGGCCAGGAGGAAAGCAGAGTGGGTAAATGCTTGCCGTGTAAGCATGAGGGCTGTGTTCAGATGTCCAGGACTCTGTAAAAGCCAGGCCTGACGGTGTGTCTGTAATGTGAGACCCTGTGGTGGGATGGGAAGAACTCTGTGGAGACAGCAGCTCTAACACCCACACATGTGCCCTGGCATGTGCTCGAATGTCCTCTTTCCCACCCTCCTCCCACTTCTTCTCCCCCTCCCCTCCTCTTCCTCCTCCTCTCTCGTGTGCATGCACACGCTCATATACACAACATTCTTTTAGGAGACAAACCACATAAACTGTATTCTCTGCAGCAAAATTCACATTACAACAGCTATATAATGCTGAGTACACAGCAGGTACTGAATGCTTCCTAAATTAATTCATGACAGAAATTTCCTCACATTTTGCTGTAATCCAGTCAGACATGAAAGACAGTTCCCAAAACAAAAAAACAAAAAAAAAAAAATAAAAAATAAAACTGCCAAACTCAACTTTGCATGCTCATGTGTCCAACAGAAAATCTGTTAGCACGCTGGCACCATGGCGGGAGGTGAACACTCAACGGCTGCAAGCTGTGCATGGCAAGGCATCTCTCACCTCCTTAATGCGCACGCCCTTCTCGCCTCGAGTGGCGTCCAGCAGCAGCTTCCTTAGTTGTTTGTCATCCACGGCCTTTGGCAGATTGTGCAGGCAAAGCCGGGTCTGGGAGACAAAGATATTCTGGTTCTTGAGTTTCTGATGTTTCAGGAGCTCAAACTGGAAGAGAAGAAAAAGACAAACTCTTAGCATACAATACACTCGATAGGCAGGCTCTCCAAAAGAAAAGAATCACAGCCCCATCCCACAGCACCTGTGGCCTGACAATGCCCAGCAGAGAGAAAGGCGGGCTCAGGGAGGCAAGATGACCATGAGCTCGAGTCAGATCTGAACCAAAAAGTCATCCAACTAGAGAAATCAAGTGACTTTTTTTTTTTAAGATTTTATTTATTTATCATGTATACAACATTCTGCTTCCATGTATATCTGCACATCAGAAGAGGGCACCAGATCTCATAATGGATGGTTGTGAGCCACCATGTGGTTGCTGGGAATTGAACTGACCTCTGGAAGAGCAGTCGGTACTCTTAACCACTGAGCCATCTCTCCAGCCCTCAAGTGACATTTTAAGATTCAAATTTCCAACTATAAAAATGAAAGTGCAGATCAATATTTAACTCTCAACACTGACATGAAGCCAAATCAGATCTAAAAAAAAAAAAATGCATAACTCAAAATCTAGCCCAGCACAAGTATTCTTTATTTTAAAGAATTTTATTTTATTTTTATTTTTATTGATTACTCAATACAGGGCTTCTCTGAGTAGCCCTGGATGGCCTGAAATTCACTCTGTAGACCAGGCTGGCCTCGAACTCCAAGATCCACCTGCCTCTGCATCCCAAGTGCTGGAATTAAAAGCATGTGCCACGACTGCCCAGCTTACCACAAGTATTCTTAGAAGTAATACTGAAGGTAGAGTCTATGCTCAGTCCTCACCCACCCAACACCTAAGTCTAAGTACTTCCCTTCCTGAAGAAAATAAACTTACATTTTATAATGCACATAAAAAAACTTGGCAAGCTTTGGCTAGCAAAATTAAGTCTAAAATTCAGTAAAATTTTAGCATACTACTTCCCCAAATACCATAATATTCACATGTCCACTACTTAAAAACTGTTGGGAGCCAAATCTCAGGGCTGGGCATGAGATCCTAGGTCATGCTTGGCAGGCCACATAGTTAACCTTTACATAGCAGCACCTTAAAACCTCAGCTCAAGAAAAGAAACAACCTGACCCAGTCCTCCACCCACAGGCTGAGTCACCTAGGCAACCCTGCCTGGACCTCTTACTCATGAACTCTTTACCCTGCCAAACATCCTCTTTGTGGCTTCCTAATATCCTGCCTATACCAACACCTGGTGCACAAACAACCTATTTTGCCCCTCCCCATATCCTGACTATATAAGCTAGCCTAAGAAAAAAGTAAAGTCTGCCACTTGATCAGAATCCTGTCTTGTGGTCGTTCTTTCTGCGTCTCTTGTCCCCATTCCCTATCCCTGACTCTCTTGCCCCAGGTTGATGTCCTGCAGGTCGGGACAAAAAACATTGAGAACACTACTACAAAACCAAGCTGGAAAGACACTGCTTCTGCCTATCGTACTATACTTCCTGAACACCTCCTGAACTTTAAGGTTCCACAGCTGTTCTGTATCTTTACCCGTCTAAGCTGTTTTGTAATTTTATTGTTAGGTATGTGTCTGTGTGCAATTGTGCACACACTTGGGTCAAAGGACAACTTTAGAGGGATCCACTAAGGTCATCAGGCTTGTTCAGTAGTACTTTACCCACTGAGCCGCCCCACTGGCTCTGTAAGGCGAGCTGCAAGAGCTGGGTATAGAACAGCTGGTAAAGGGCCTGCACAGCACACACAGCATCTGACGTTCAGTCCTCAGCACGTGTAAACTGGGCAGGATGGAGTCTGCCTGTAATCCTGGCACTCAGGGGGTAGAGAGGAGGAGGATCAGAAATTCACAAGTAATCAGTTACACAATGAGGTCAGCCGGAGCTAGGTGAGGCCATCTCAGAACAACAAAATAAGCAATGTGTACAAAAGTAGCAACTGCTGAGAACATTACTAAGCAGCAAAGGGGTCAATTAACAGTAGAAACACCTATACTATGAAATTGTTCTACAATAACTGTGTAATTTGGAGACACTAACCCCTCCCAAATGACATCTTGACTACTCATTCCAAAACCCACATGTCCTCCCTTTCCTAGTAGCCCTGCCCACAGAGCTTCCTTTCCGATGTTGTACAGTTACACTAACAATTACACACAGCTCCTCCTCCTCCTCCTCCACACCTACTGCGTAACCCAGCAGCACAGTATTCACCACACACAGTACTACAGAAACAAAGAAGACGACGGTTCTTACAATGGAACAAAATGCCGACACAACATGAGGAGTAATGCTCAGTTACTTCTCCTTCATCTGTGTGCTTCCAACCAGGTAAAATGTGGTCCTTATACACAGCCCTACATGAGCAAATGCAGCAGCAATACTTGTTTCTGATTCATGTATAAAACCACGGAGAGAACCCTGAGACCAATGCACAATCTACCCACCCGTTCTCGTTTGGCCATATCTGCAGCACTCACACCCTCGGCAGCCTTCGTCCCCGCACGGATCACTGCAGAAAGAAGGAAAAAGGACAAGAAGTCACCAAGGGAATGTTCACTGAGCAACAGGAAGAATGTGCTTTGAATGATGCAAACTCTGAACAGGGCCCTGAGGACTGTGTTGGCCAGTTAGTTACGTCCAAAAATAGCTACAGGGCCAAGTCCTAGACTTAGCTTTGCTCTAAAGACAAGCTTTGAACATTTTGTGATTTCGTTCCTTTCTGCCTGCAAAACAGCATCACATTCATGCTGCAAGTTAGACAGACAGGTATGGATGAAGTCTGAAAGCAGCTATAATGCAGGTATCTGGAACACAGAATGTTCCACCAGCAACCTGCCCGGAAACTTAGCTGCTCCTCGTGCACTTGGGAGCCAATCACTCAACAGTTAGATGAGCCACCAGAGAGGAAAGTTAGGGGCTCACAGGCCTCAGAGCCTAACATTACTAATTGTTGCTATGCACTTACACAGGGGTTAGGCTGATAAATACCAGAAACTCTAGAATTGTTTTTTAACTTAAAGGTAATTTCTCATTCTTTTCTGACATTAAGAGAAAGGTAAACATTTAAATCTATCAATAATCTAAAAAAGCAATTTCAGTTGTATTTTTCAATATCTAAAAAAAATAAAACACCTCATAAGAAATGAAGATGAGAAGCAGGTAATTTGAGTTCTTCTGCTTTGTGCTTCTGATCTATAATGGAAATACCTAAGGCAACCACACAGAAGAAAGAATGGATTGACTAAGCTGCAAACTGGGTCAAGGGTCCTAGCAAAGACACACTACTGAAGTGGATGAAACAGCAACGGAACACTGTAAGGAGGATACTGGGTTTTTTATTGGAAACACATCTCAAAATATAACTGCTGGCTGACTCTTATGGCCTAGGGCCAGCTACTTAGACATTTGGTTCTATCTTCTTCCACTACTCACAGCCTTCTCGGGCCAGATAGAGGTTCCGGGTCCCAGTCGGCTTCTTCACCTTCTTTGTCTGAAGCTTTGCTGCCTCATCACGGGTCACAGCCAAGTCAATCTTGAGCAGCCGCCCATCTAGTTTAAGTCCACCACCCTGAAATATATTGCAGCCTTCTCTTCAAATACTTAACAAGCAGAAAGTACATAATAAGAAGTATCACTTTCTCGGAATCAGCACACTGTAATTGTGCCGAGACAGCCAGGCCACGGGACACATCTGCTTGGCTGGCTACATGCGGACCCTTGAGACACACTCGTTTTTATAATTGTACAAAAGGTCACATGTGTATATACTTAAGACAATCAGCAGTAAGGATTTACTTAACAGTAGTTTTAAAGCAGGCCTAAACTGAGGAAAATGTCTGGTGAACAAATGTTTAGTACTCTAAAGCTAGTGAAATAAAATGTTTAGTACTCTAAAGCTAGTGAAATAATATGAGTATTTAAGAGACAATGACAATACAGGATAACATCTCAAAAATTGCATACTTCATTTAAAAGCACAGAAAAATTCTCAATATCTACACTTTGTCCATCAAATGTGCATCTAGTTTCCCAGATGGCATTAATACCGTCTTTCAGTCTTTAATGTCATTAGCCTCGAACGGGGTAATATGGGTCAGAAACATGGATAACTGCACTCATCTCAGTGGATAAATAATTAAGGCAGTGCATGCAAAGCTCAGTGCTAAATACACACTAAGTGCTGAAGCCTTCACTTTATTAATAATAATAAAACTTGGTGGAGGATCAGATCTCACATCTAGGAGCTACTATGTCCTAGGAATAGAGGAAGGACATGCTTTCCTTACCTCAGCCTCTGGAGAGGCAGCTGCAAGGCATTTCTGAGCTGCTTCCTGAGTCATGAACTGTGCAAATCCACAACCTGCACCAAGACACAAAGTTTAGTGAGACACCCCTCACTTCCACAGTAAGCAAAAGACAACCCTGAAAATATCCACAAATGGAACGGGTAAGTCGCATCTATGGGACAGGTACTATGTTAGGTGGTGCAGGGCGTAGCCAGACACCGTAGCACACACATCTGCTCTTAGCATTTGGTCCATCAACTGCCTCCTCATAACACCCACATGAAATAACAGAGATCCAGCTAACCACTTAATTCAACATCACCGAGTCCTTGGGAGTACAGTGAAAGATGAAGCAGAACTCTTTAACCCTGAAATTACACCTCCTGGTCTTACAGTTACCCGGGAGGCATCAAATAACAGCAGATACGCCTCTTGGGGTAAAAGAGGCTATTATATGAATATCGCAGGAAAACAGCCATGAGTTCAACTATTGGCTTCTGCTCTAGAATCTTTACAAAGCATGCCTTCTACTGGTCAAATGCAGAACCAATTATCTAAATAAATTTCTACTACAGATTAAAAGCAACTTTGCACAAGTTCACCTCACAGTAAATCTCAAAAAAAAAAAAAAAGTTTCATAATATATTATCAGTGTACTTCAAAACCCAAAACAGAATTCTCTCACATGAAAACACTCCCATGTCTCCCAGAGCTAGGGCATTCATTATCTTCTGCCCTGTACTGGAAGGAACCTAGACAGATTAACCTAAAGCACACATACAATAGGCTCATCTAGAGAGACCCCCGACAGGGCCAAGTGTTCTCCTTCTGTGTTACCAGCCCTCCCACCCTCTATTCACATCTCTTCAGGCACTGGTCAGGTAGATCTTCCCCAAAATAAGAAGTACTTCAGAAATCTGGACCACCCTCTACAGCGCAGAAATAAACACAGTTCAAGCTCAGAACCCATGGGCTATGCACTAGTGGAGTCAACCATGCACAGAACAAGCATACTTGGGGGAAAACTATCTATACTGAACGCGAATGGACTTGCCATTCTCTAACAACACTTCACCTTGTTCTTCAGGAGTGTGTGTGTATTGACACATTTTTATGAAAGCATCTCTTGACCACGGAGAACAAACTTTTCCCAGGCCTTGCCATCAAGTCAGTAATGTCCTTGAGGTCATCTAAGACTACACACCTACCCTACTCTCCTACTGTGTACTCTCAGCCTCTTTAAGCTTAACCGCCTTGAAACAGCTTTTACAACCTAAGCTAAACATATAGCTTTAACCTTAAGTTACGTGCTCTTCCATGCCCCTGACCCAAAACAGTGTGTGTGTGTGCACTGTACTAATCATTTGCTGAAAACAGCCTTAAACAACAAACAGGTCATAAATGTTGAGAGCAACATGTAGATGTACTTGATGACATCTGTTGCAGTTTTGTTGCTATACCAGGTCAGTTGGAAGAAATAAAGCTACTTCTTCCCTTGTCAAGATTTCTTTAAAGAATCCCCCATTACTTCCCCATGTCATGTTTTACTTTTATTAGGGACAGACAGCAGACACAGAAGAAATGGAGAATTCATATTGGGCTTATTCTTGGCCCAACTAATTCAAAAGGAAGTTGCTTTATTTTCATTCCTTAATGCATATATGTGATCTAGAGATTAAAATATATGGAAAGAGCCAGGGGGTCTTTAATCCCAGTACTTGGGAGGCAGAGACAGCGGATCTCCAAGTTCAAGGCCAGCCTGGTCTATAGAGAAAGTTCCAGGACAACCAGAGCTACACAGAGAAACCCTGTCTCAGGGAGGAAAAATAATTTTTAATTATGCTTTTAAAACCAGTAACTATTAAAATTAATAGACCAGAAAAGAAATATAGCAAATCAATTGCAGACTACACTGTAAAAACATTAAATAAAATACCCTGCTACATTAAAAAAGGGACATAAGTGAAACAGTATCACTAGTTGGGCATTCTAGAAAAACAAACTAGAAATGAGAAAGGTCCAAGAAGTATGGCTATTAGAGCTGAAGACGTTTCATTACTCTAGTCATTTCCCTAGTACAAACCTAAACTCACAGTGATTAAATAATTTGCCAAATTGGTATGTGACTAAGGAGAGTTTCATCTCCAGGAAGCTGTTCAGTACTGCCTTATATTATTTTAACTGAGTAAAAGTAAATTGATCAAGTCTCATCTGATCAATTCTTATCAGTTGAAAACTAAAGTTTAGAATGAAAGTTCTTAACCATGGATAAACTTGAGAACCAACAAACCCTCAGAAAGAGTATTCTTCTGAGGAGAGGGCTTATAGCATTTGCTAGAGCACAAAGGAATCAAGAATCCAAACAAATGAACCCAATGTTTATGATGGTTTATCTTTCATCATCAACCTGATTAGATATAGAATCACCTAGGAGACTGAAGGTGGGTACTTCATGGTCTAGGGGTCTGGGTAAAATCAAAGAAACAGGAGAGTGAGCAGCCCTTTTAGCTTCATCCTTCCTCTGTTTCCTGGCCCACTATGAAAGAGCTGAGCTGTTCTGCCATGTGCCAAAACAAAATAAATCCTGCTTTCTTCATGTCAGGTATTTTGGACACAATAATGGAAAAGTTACTAGGTAGCTTGAGCAGAATGAATGCAGTCCATGAAGTCAAAGATTATAAATGGACTGATGTTATATATGTGTCTATATTCACATTCTAATACACAGCAGTGTGCTAGAATGAATACTTAGCTTTCAGAGTACAAAATAAACAGCATTAGGGGAAAATATCTCATGCACCACTCTTGCATAGTTTTCCTTCTGACTATTTCCATGCAACAAAGTTTCTGTCAGTTTTTATCTCTAATGAAAGCATCAAAGAAAAAAAGCTTCCCATTAATTTTGAGCAATGTAAACTATTAATACCCAGGAGATGCTATCACATTTGAAATGCAAAGGAGAACAACAAATGGAATTCATTACCTTCAAGTAAACAAGCAAGAGCTTTAACAGCTGAGACAAAATTAAAGCTGGCAAAGCCATTAAATTGCTGACTTTCACATCATGGAAGACAATTTCAGGGTGTCCTTGGGCTTTTGTGGAAACCAATAAAGAGACTGGACAGACTGAGTAACACCCCAAATGGCATAATTTATGCTCTTCCCGAATGCCGGGACTGCTAACCTGAGGGCAAGTACCTTTAGAATGCTCTGTGTCTGGATGCAAGACAATTCGGACATACTTAAGATCACCAAATTGCTGAAGGACCTCCCCTAGGTCTTCTTCTTCTGACTCAAATGAAAGATTCCTACGAAACAAAACCAGGCCACAAAATTTTCAATGACAAAGTAAGATCTTAAATTTCAACATGAGGTACATGAATTAGCCATCAACTCTGACGGCTCCCTGTTCACAACCATTCTCCCTTGTTCAAACATAGCACCAGTACACAAGAGTGCCACCTTCCAATATCAGACTCTCTCACCTGGGAATTTAAAACTTATTAGATAAATAAAAAAGACTGAAGCTACAGATACAGTTTCCCTTAGACTAAGAGCATCACAGCTGAGACGCTGGAGTGATACAGATATGCTCATTGTGACCTGGTAGTTATGTGACTATAAACATATTTTGTTTAGCTGCACATTTACAGTAATATACTTTACAGAAACACCTTGTGCCTCTCTTTTTTAAAGACAATATCAGAGAAAAAAGACCCAGAGCCAGAACCTCCAGCAGCAGAAGTCTTATAACTGCCCAGATTTCACCCCCTACTTGAGATCTGCACCTTGACAACACTGATTCTGTGAGCAAACAGTATTCATATAATGTGGCTAAAATTAGCTTCTCTTACTACAACCAGAAATTTTCACAGCAGGCTGGTAAGAAACATGTCCTTCTTTTATTGAATTAGACATATCCCCCTCCATGTTAATTATGAAATCTGGTTTTCAGTTAAAATATTCCAAGAAAATCCTTCAAAACAATATAAAAGAAAAACATGGTAAAGATGGCAAGGCAAATATAGGAGAAGGGAGAAAGGGAGGGAAGGAAAGAGAAAGAACAGGAACTATACATTGAATAGCCTTATTCTGAGAATCTAAAGGTTTGTTATGTATTTTTTTAATTTAGTGCGAACATGCTATTGTACAGGAAAAACATGTGACAATTAGAGGACAACTTGCAAGAATCTAGATCTCGACAGGTGGTGGTGGTGCACGCCTTTAATCCCAGAGGCAGGTGGGTCTCTGTGAGTTCGAGACTAGCCTGGTCTACAAGAACTAGTTCCAGGACAGGCTCCAAAGCAATACAGAGAAACCCTGTCTCAAAAAACAAACGAACAAACAAACAAACAAAAAAAAAAACCAAACATCTAGTTCTCTAATTCTGCCAGGTGGGTCCTGAATATCAAACTCAGGTTGTCAGACTTAGTGACAAGTACCTTTTCCCACTGAGTCGTTTCATTCACCAGCCTGCATACAATGGAGTAAGACTAACCCGACCTGCAAAAAGGCCCATCTGCTAGTCAGCAGGGTTGAAATAGCATCAACAGGCAATAAAACCGTCTCCACCCTGTATATTTCCCTGGAAACAGAAAGCATGACTTTTTGTTGGGAGCTGCCGTGTGGGTGCTGGGAATCAAACCTGGACCCTCTGGCAGAGCTGTCAGTGCTCCTAACATTGAGGCGTGTCTCTAGCCTTGTCAGTTTGCTTTCTCAATACAAACCAAGGACCACCTGCCCGGAGGCTGGGCCCTCCCACATCATTAATCAAGAAAACGCCCACAGACTTGCCCAGGGCACACGCCTTTAATCCCAGAACTTGGGAGGCAGAGGCAGCCTGGTCTATCTACAGTGTGAGTTATAGGACAGGCTCCAAAGCTATATAGAGAAAACCTGTATCAAAAAACCAAAAAATAAAAAGTAAAAATTAAAAAAGGAGGAAAGAAAAGTTAGGCATGAGGAGAAAAAGTATCCAGGGTAAATGGTATCAACTCAGTATGTCTCCTAAAGTAAAAGTCAGAGCCAATTAAGAGTTTGAAATGTTTCAAAAGTTGCCACCCCAATTACAAAACATGAAATCTAAAAAGGACAAGGACCCTACCTACTAGTTACCTCCTGTTTTAAGTTCTCGATCTTAAATTTCTCACTGGTATGTCCCTCAGATCAGATGTGCTAAACAGTCTCATAGTATCTAACTTTAGTGCCAAATAAAGGAAATGGAAGGGAGAAACAGATGAAGGGGAGGGGAGAGGAGAGCCAGGGACATAAGGGAAAGGAAGGTAAGCAATGAGACCTGTGAGGGTGATGCACAGTTCTGCATAAGGAAGGCGTACCTGATGAAAACAGTTTTCCCTTCGTTCACATCGGAGGGCAACTTCCTCTTCTTTTTCTTTGAGACTGGGGCATCTAATGTAAACAACAACAACAACAAAACAAAAAACAAAACCAAAAAAAACTCAAAAAGACAACTGCAAGTCACATGACAAAGGGCTAACTTCTTATTTTATATAAATTATTTTAAATTTTAAATGGTGAAAGGATATAACAACTAAATATATTAGAAGATGCTCAAACTCAAAGAAAAGCAAAGCAGAGGGACTGTGAGTGTAGCTCAGTGGTAGAGCCTGTTTAACATAAACAAGTACATAGGTTCAATTCCCAGCCACGAGAGAGGGGAAGGGAGAGGAGGGCAGAGTTCAAGAAAAAAAGAGAAAAAGTCTTACTCTGAGACCCTATCAAAAAAAATTTTTTTTTTTTTTAAAAACACTTATATGCTATGTGTACACAAACAAAGTTCTGGAAAAATGATCACTTTGGAGAATTGTTGGACTGGTGAACAACTCTGAATTTCTACATTAAGCTCTTTTGTGCTATATTCTTTAACTTCTTATTTGAGTCCCACTAGGTTTTCAGATTCAAAAAAGAAAATGACAGTAAAGATGCAGATGAATCCAAATTGTAGGTCTCATTGTGCTCTCAATATAAAAGCCTTGACTCTATCCTCATGAACAAAAGTTTATTGCTTCTATCTCTTATGTGGCCAAACCAAAACACCAGACTTCAAGAAATGGAATCAAAACAGCTGAGAGTAAAAACACCCACTTGGACAAAGTAGTTACTGGCCATTTCTCATTGTTTAATGATCCTCAATAAAGGGAGCAAAGTGGATTGGTAATAGTTCTACAAAACGGTCCCTGAAGTCCTTGTTAGGAACTGAACTGTGTCTCTCCAAAACTCATACATAAAGCCTTACCTCCTAGTATCAATATACTCTGAGATGGAGACTTCAGAGAGGTAAGTAAGGCTAAGTGTAGCCATATGGGTAGGAGGACTAGTTTCCTTATTACAGGAGGAAGAAAGACCAGAGTTTTGAGGTGTTTTGTTCTCCTTGACTGTGTGAAGACCCTGAGCAGGAAAAGTCTGTAGGCAGAAACAGGGCACTTTGGTCTGGGGACATCTAACCTCCAGAACTATAAGGACATAAGTCCACCTTTTGAGCCACAGTATATAGAATTTGTTATGGAAGCCCAAGCTGACTTTATAGTTCTTTATCTATCTCATCTCAAACCCAGAATTGTTGTGTTTTTTTTTTAAACTCATCTACATCTCAACTCAAAAAGGTTTTTTTTAAATATATTCAGTGTGTAAACATGTAATATATACCCTGTTTATCCAGCTATTCATTTAACTTCAACAATTAGAAGTGATAGCACCCTCAATATTAAGGCTAGATTTTAACCTAATAAGACTCTAAATTCTCAAATATCATTCCAAACTCATCTTTAAAACAAAGCGAACAGGGGCTGGAGAGATGGCTCAGAGGTTAAGACCACTGACTGCTCTTCCAGAGGTCCTGAGTTCTATTCCCAGCAACCACAAGGTGGCTCACAACCATCCTCTATGAGATCTGGTGCCGTCTTCTGGTGTGCAGATATACATGGAAGCAGAATGTTGTATACATAATAAATAAAATCTTTTTTTTTTTGAGACAGGGACAGGGGTTCTCTGGGTAGCTTTGGAGCCTATCCTGGCACTCGTCTGGAGACCAAGCTGGCCTCGAACTCAGAGAGATCCACCTGCCTCTGCCTCCCGAGTGCTGGGATTAAAGGCATGCGCCACCAATGCCCAGCTCATAATAAATAAAATCTTAAAAAAAAAAAAAAAAACCAATAAAGAAACAAAGACTCAGAATGTAGCTCAGTTGGTAAATGCTGGCCTAGCATGCATGAAGCCCAGGGTTCAAACCCCCACATCACATAAACCAGATACAGTGGTGCACACCTGTAATCCTCCCAGCATTTGGGATTACAGTGAAGTCACAGGGTTCAAGTTCATTCTCATCTACATACTGAGTTTGAAGCCAGCCTAGGTTATAGGAGACCTGTCTCAAAAGAGGAGCAGAGGGGAGAGAGGACATAGCAGTTTTGCATGCACAAGGTCCTATGTGTGATCCCCACCACCACACAAACTAGGAATGGCCGTGCATGCCCATCACTCAGGAGGTAGAGGCAAGAGAATCAGCATCGTCAAAGTCAGCCTGGGCTACATGAGATCCTATCTCAAAAGAGAGGGGGAGAGGGAGAGGAAAGGGGGTTACGGGGATGGAGATGGGGAGAGAAGCATTAGAAAAAATGAAAATAAAGGTTCCCTTTTTAGTAGTTAACAAGAATTTGGTAGAAAACGTATTTGAAGAGGCCTGGGCAGAACTGGTGCACATGTCTCAGTCATTTATTCAAAGCTGAAAGGCATTTATAAAGGTCCCAGCAAACCTTCATCCTCTTGTTCCTCAGCACTGCTCCCACTCTGTACTCCTTCACCGTCAACGCTCCCTCCTTCCTCCAGGTCACTGTCCTCATCAGAATGGTCTTCCTCAATGCTTTCTTCAGGAGCTGCTCTCTTCACTGCTCTGCAACGGCACAGTTCAGATCTCATCATCTGGCCTGACACATAAGTGACTGAGGGAAAATGCTGTCTTCCCCAGAATCTCAGAATGGGCCTACCTCTTCTGAATTTTCACTGTTGATTCTCTACTTTCCTCTTCATCTTCTTCTTCTTCATCATCATCATCATCATCATCTTCTTCATCACCATCATCATCACCATCATCATCATCATCTTCATCATCATCACTATCATCATCATCATCATCATCATCATCTTCTTCTTCTTCTTCTTCTTCTTCTTCTTGCTCTTCCACCCTGCCATTCTTCTTACCTGAGTCCTTGTGCTCACGTTCACTGCTCACGTTCTTTCCATCTGTGGAGGAAGATAAAGAAAGAACATCTGCTATTGAAAACAAGGTTATTTTAACAGGAATAACTAATAACACAAGCTCCTTGTGCCTCTGATTTTTCAGGACTTCCTATTTTTTTTCTTACCATAGTCAGGTTTTCATTTCCATCAGTTTTTCATCTCAGATTCAATCAACCACAGACCAAAAAAGATTTTTTAAAAATGCTGTGTCTGTACTGAATATCTATTTTTTGTCAATATTCCCTGTACAATTCAGTATAACAGCTATTATATAGCTTTGTATTATACTAGGTTGACAAACAATCCAGAGAGGATCTAAAATGTACACAAGGATTACATTAATTCTCTAAGAGATTTGAGCACCTAAGGATTTGTTGAGCATAGTCTGTGAATCAACTCCTCAGAGACCCCAAAAATGACAGCATACAGTGTCAGCAAACCCATCACCACCTAGATTTCACTTCTCCTTTGCTTGTCATCATCAGAGGCCTGAAGGTTAAGCTGCCCCAGGAAGAGAGAAACAGCAAGCAAAACCCTTCAGACAGGCCACCACTCCCACACCACAGCAAACACATTGCTCACTCTGGCCCTCCATGAACTTTAGTTTCAATGTGGACTACTCTGACACTCTGGTGACTTAAAAGCATTTAAAGTTTTCTCTCTCATTTTTTAAAATGTTTAATTAAAAATATTATTTTATGCATATGAGTGTTCTGCCTGCTTATGTGTCTATGCACCATGAGCATGTGATGCCCTCCGGTCCCTGGGACTGTTAGGTGGTTGTGAGCTACCATGTGGTTGCTCAGATGCCCAGAAGAGAAACCAGTGAGTGCCCTTAACCACTGAGCTCCCCAACCCTGCTCTCTCATCTTAACCATTCATTAGTATGGGATGATGAGAAGAGAGCAGGAAGAGGGAAGAATGAACAAACTCAGGCCCCTCCTCACTCATGTCCATACCTTGGAAGTGACTTCAGACTCAAAAGATCCTATGTTTGCAGATCAGCTCACCAGACAGCCCAATGTAACAAGCAGCCTTGAGCCCACAGGAATTTAGAGATTTTCCAGAACTCTTTTTTTTTTCTTTTTTTGAGACAGGGTTTCTCTGTGTAGCCCTGGCTGTCCTGGAACTCACTTTGTAGATCAGGCTGGCCTTGAACTCACAGAAATCTGCCTGCCTTTGCCTTCTAGATGTTAAGATTAAAGATGTGTGCCACCACTGCCTTCCTGACTTTTTTGTTTGTTTGTTTGTTTGTTTGTTTTTTTGCTAATATTATGCTTTGGTTATCTCCAGCTCAATATTCCCACTCTACATGAAAGTTCCAATACATGTCAAGCATGGTGACACACCCTTTTAATCCAGCACTTGGGAGGCAAAGGCAGGCAGATTTCTGCGAATTCAAGGACAGACTGGTCTACATAGCAAGTCTCAGGACTACATAGAGAAACCCTGTCTCAAAACAAACAAAAAACCACAAGAATTGTTTCCACTACCCCCCACCCCAACCCCACCCTGCAACCCTACCTATTGCTAACTCATCTTACCTGGGGCAGAAGCAGGCTGGGTATCTTTGTATTTGTCCTTTGCTACAGCCCAATCCACAGCCACAGTCCGTCCTGTCAAACAGAGAGGAAGGATCAGAGACATTCTTCTTTTTAATATCCCTACTTCCCTCCCGCAAAAGACAGTTATAGTATTAGTGGAGACAAAGAATGGCAATTGTGAGCCTAGCCTTTAACTGCTGAGCCATCTCTCCAGCCTGACCATTGGGGGTTTTTTGCTTTTTGTTGTTGCTGTTGGTTTTTTGTTTTTTCAAGACAGGGTTTATGTGTGTAGTTTTGGAACCTGCCCTGGAACTTGCTCTGTATACCAGGTTGGCCTTGAACTCACAGAGCTCTGCCTGCCTCTGCTTCCAAGGCATGTGCCACCAACTGGCTGACTATTAATTCTTAAAGATAGAGAGGCAAAAAGATCTTGAGTTCCAGACCAAGACTACCTTGTAAGATACTGTTTCAAAACAAAAACAAAACTAAAAATGCTCCTAATATCTTACTGTGAAACAATCTCTTTGGACACTTTGAATATTTGCTACTCTCATTGGTCTAACAAAGACCTAAATGGACAACAGTTAGGCAGGTAGAGGTTAAGTGGAACTTGTGAACAAAAAGAGAGGTGGGAAGAGTAGAGTCACTAGACAGTCACAGAGGGAGCGGGACGTGTAAAATGAAGTAACAAGCCATGAGCCACACAGCAGTACACAGTGAATACAGATGGGCTAATTTAAGCTGTAAGAGCAAATTAGTAATAAGCCTAAGCTATCAGCGAAGCATTTATAATTAATAAGTCTGTGTGGGTTTTGGGGAGCTGGTGGTCCCACCTACAGTAGCTCTTTTTAATCCTTAACCCTTTAATAAAAGAAATTCAGCTTTTTATTTTTACATAGCCATCACACCTTGGATAATACGAGGTAAACAAAGAATTGTGTTTCCAGTTACACAGGCAAGAAGCAAAACAGACATTCTAGGGAATCCTGCTCAGTTAGGAAGGGACTAAGTTGATCCCTTCCATCAGCCTGGTACCTGATGATACCAAAGTAGACTGTCAGTTTAATAGCCATGTGTAGGGAGACATTGTAGCCCCGCCTCCTAGGAGCTGCTTGGCTACGCCCATGAGGGCATGGTCAGGGGAGGTTCAGGAATTCTTAAGGAGAGGACAGACATGGGAGGTACTCTTTGCTGGGCTCCCTAGCCTGCTGCCTGAGGGCACTCTCTCCGGCTTGTGTTAATCTGAATAAAGACATCCCATGGGCACTGATAAAAGTGGTCCAATGAAAACAGAGGAATGTAGGCACCAAAAGTGCATTTATCAGCAGTTCTGTCCAAGACAGTCATTAGGAATGTCAAAAAGGTATTCAAAAAGGTAAATGAAGGAAAGGCTCCTGGCATGAGTTCTTTCAAGTTTACCCTAGGATCAAATACTGAAAAATTTTCATCAAAAATTCTAAGTGTGGTGATGCATGCTTATAATCCCAGAACAAGGTAGAGGCAGAAAGGTCAGATGCTCCTTGGCAATTTAGGGAACTCAAGGCTACACTGGGCTACATGAGCTACCATTTTAGCAATGTGATCCTAAGCAGTAGAAACATCTTTTGAAAACACACACACACACACACACACACACACACACACACAAAGGTGGTTGCTGTGCTAATTCACTCAAGCACCAGAAATAACTAGGCCATGGTATGAGTGTAGAAGACTCACCTTTTATCTCTTTCATGTTCATGCCTTTGAGAGCTTTTCCTGCTTCAAGAAGGTTTTTGAACTGAACAAAAGCAAAACCACGCATCTTTCCATCTGTGAGCAAACGTAGAAAAAAGTTAGAGGCAGCAGGGGGTAGCCAACAGAACAGAAGATCACAGCAGTCAAGCTGACCAGACGGTCCACAGCCTGTCAATCGGCCAAGAGGTCCCTGCCCAAAAACACAGTTATCCTCTATTACTCTAGCTTTAGGAAAGCAATCACTCAGTACCAGTGGTACTGACCATGTCTGAGCTACCTAAAAATATCTTCAAGGAATAACACTAACACTCGGGCTTCACTAATTGTCAAGTACCACGCCAAGTACTTTGCAAATATGTCTAGGGCCACAGAGAACATAACAAAAGATTTATTTTTGGCTCAGTAATATGGAAAAATTCACATTAAGTTGTCTTCATCAAATCCACACCAAATGAGGGTGCGCAAGTACCTGGCTTCCTTGGGATATTCACTTCCAGAACAGTTCCATAGGGAGTAAATGCTGTTTTCAAGTCATCTTCTGAACACTTAGGCCAAAAGGAAATCAAGAAGTATTAGCACAGTAAATAAATATGAAACATCAACTACTAAGCTCATTTCCTACAAAGAGTCTGAATATTTTTATTCCTTTTTTTTTTTTTTGAGTTTTAAGACCAGAACAGCAAACAACCATGACACATTGACAGCTTACTTTCAGCAAACAACCGTGAACAAATTGACAGCTTACTTTGTATCTAAAAAGCCAAAAAGAAAAAGAAAAAAAGCCAGTCATGGTATCCTGTACTTGCAATCCCAGCACTCAAGAGACAGAGTCAGGCGGATCAGGAAAGGCTAGCTAGCCTCAGCTAGAAAGTTTGGGGTGTGCATGAGCTACAAGAGATGCTGTCTCAAAAAGGGAAGGAGAGAGAGGCTAAACCCAGACCTCTTTCTCGGTAGTAGCTTCCTCCACAGGGCTTAATAAGTTTTTTTAAATTATATTGATCTATTTTACTTGGGGGGAAGGCAATGCATGCTCATGTGTATGGAAATCAGAGGACAACTTCCAAGAATTGGTTTTCTTCTTCTACCATGTGGGACCCAGGGATCAAATTCAGGTCATAAGGTTTTTTCAGTTCAACTAGCTAAGGTTTATTTCCAGTAATAAATACCATCTTGGTGAGGAGTTCCACCAATGAGCATGCCTTGGTTCAAGCAACCTTCAAAACGTGTACTTTAATCACTTACCTTAAAGCTGAGGTTCCGGATAATTAATCTGGCTTTCTTATCTGCTACCTTGGCTTTTTTAGGCTTTGGCTCCTTCTTTGGGGACTCTGAATTTTCTAAAAGGTAAGAGACATGGGATAAGTCTTCAAACCCACTTCTAGACTAGACTTAAGTGAAAAGGGTACCAATACACACAGCATTTGCCATGGAGTCAAGTGTGCAATATCCAGGAATACCAGATTTTCCAGACCAAGATACAAGTGAATGACTATGAAAGCATACCAGAGGGGTTTTGACAACAAAAAGAAAACCAGTTAGCTCAAGTTCTGAAGCTGTCTCTCAGTTTTCTGACCATCTGGGGTTTTCAGTGTCTTCTTTCCTCTTAGAAAAATTACTAGAAACTCACCATTTTTCCTCTTTTCCTTGGACTTGTTCTTTAGTTTCTTCTTGGCAACAGTCACGTTGATCTTGCAACCTTCAAAAGTAGTGATCTCCTTGAGCGCCCTCTGAACATCTTCCAGCATGGAGAAAGTGACGTAGCCAAAGCCTCGGCATGCTTTGCTCCCTAGAACAAGGCAAGAAGGATGGAAATGAGAGCAAAGGCCTGTGAGCAATCAATCAAAGACACAAGTCTCAAAAGGAAAAGAAACAAGGCTGGGATCCTTCCCCACTTTACTCGGGACTATAAGGCTTCCTTTCTCTTCCAATTTAATATCTTACTGCCTCTTCTTATTCTGGTCTTTTTTTTTTTTAGTTTTAAAAGATTTTATTATTTATTTATTATGTATACAGTCTTCTGCCTGCATGCCAGCAGAAGGCACCAGATCTTATCCAAGGTGGTTGTGAGCCACCATGTGGTTGCTGGGAATTGAACTCAGGACCTCTGGAAGAACAGTCAGTGCTCTTAACCATTGAGCCATCTCTCCAGCCCCAGCCTTGATAATCTTAAGAATATGGGGGCCCATGATATACATTAGGCCTTGAAGAATTCAATTTTAAACTATGAAAGATTACCAAATACATATGGTAGATTTGAAAAATCAGATTATAATAATGCAATCTTAGAAGATAATAGCAATAAATGAGTAAGGTCCTATAAAACCATTATGTCATTAAGACCTTAGCATTTCAGTATCTAATTAAATACTTCCAAAGAAGGTATAAACTCCTGGCCTCATTTTTAGTTTCAGGACACTCCAAGCTAGGTAACATGAATACCACCCCTTCTTTCCAAAGAGTAATTTGAGAAGTGAATGTCAAAACTAAGCTAAGGGGCTGGAGAGAAGGCTCAGTGGTTAAGAGGACTGACTGCTCTTCCAAAGACTGGTGTTCAATTCCGGGTACCCACATGGTGGCTCACAACCATCTGTAACTCTAGTCCCAGGGGATGCAACAACCTCCACCGGCACCAGGACTCCAGGCATACACATGATGCAAAGGCACACATACAGGCAAAACACCCAGGCACATAAAATTAAGAAATAATTTTAGGGGCTGGGAAGAGATGGCTCAGTGGTTAAGAGCACTGACTGCTCTTCCAGAGGTCCTGAGTTCAAGTCCCAGCCACGACAAGGTGGCTCACAACCATCTATAAAGAGCTATGGTGCCCTCTTCTGGCCTGCAGGCATACATACAAGCAGAACACTATACAGAGTAAATAAATCTTAAAAAAAAAAAAAAGAAAAAGAAAAAGAATGTTAAAAAAAGAACTATGTTAATTCCTCCTTGCCAACCTCATGGTCTTTCTTTCTTTTTTTTTTTTTCTTTTTTTGGTTTTTTAAGACAGGGTTTCTCTTTGTCACAGCCCTGGCTGTCCTGGAACTCACTTTGTAGACCAGGCTTAGCCTCCAACTCATTGATAGCCACCTGCCTCTGTCTCCTGAGTGCTGGGATTAAAGGCCACCACTGCCCTGCCTCATGGTCTTTCATGAGATGCCACACAGAAGAGTATCAGGACCAAAAAGATGTATAATTACTCATCATGGCCTTTTTGGGAGGAGGGTGTTAATAGTAAAATGGTAATTAATTTCTTGCACAAGAAAAAGGGGGGGGCAAAAACCAACCAAACAAACAAAAAAACCAATGTCGATGTCTGCCCATGACTTGCATAAGAAACAACTCTGTGTTCTGTTTTATCTCCTCCAGAGCACATACGATATAACACAGGACAATAATCTATATAAAGTGGCTGCACAGCTGGCATGGGGCACCGGGACAGCAAACTGTGACATGGAAATTGATTTCTTTTCTCTTGGAACTTCTCTCACAAAAGCCTATAACTCACAAAATAAGAACAAAAAAAAAAAACAAAACAAGACCCTCCTCTCAATCAGTACAACCAAAAACAAAGCGACTCAAATGTGAAGTTCAGACCAGTGGTGGGGGCGCACACCTTTAATCCCAGCACTCGGGAGGCAGAGGCAGGCAGATCTTTATGAGTTCTAGGCCAGCTTGGTCTATACAGCAAATTCCAGGACAGCCAGGGCTACACAGAGAAACCCTATCTCGAAAAACAAACAAAATACAAAGGGGGGGGGGGGGATTAATGTACCAAGAGGTATATACAATAATTATGTCTCCACAAACAACTGTCACACACATTCAGAATCTTCACAATCGTAAGAATGGTCACGCCAGCACCATTAGGAAAAACGCCACCTCACCTCCATGCCCACCCCTCTAACCCCACTGGAGTGCCACACTTGTTTCCAGTACACCTCACTTGTCCCTACAGGGAAGTCCATACTTTTTCTTAAACGGGGCATGAGAGATTGTTAAGAATTTAGACCAAGTACACCAGGCTTAAGGTAAGGTCCACAAAACTACTATTACATGAAGATGGACTCAGCACTTTTCTAAGGCTTTGGTAACTTCTCAAATTCAACATGCTAGGCAATGGTGGATAAGGGTGGTCTTTGGCACCACTTGTAAAACGGTATTAATGTCCATCACACTTCCAGCGGCAATACCGTCCCCAGCTGTGGTGGTGGGTTATGGGTGAAGCAGAATCTTGAATGCACCTGAACTCTGTCTCCCTGAAACTTGGCAATGGCAGCAGGAAAAAGGAAGTCCATGTTTCTTTCTTATTGTTTTTGTTTTTTTGAGACAGGGTCTTATATAACCCAAGTTGGCCTCGACTTCCTGATCCTCCTGCCTCTACATACCAGGTGCTGGGATTATACCACATACCACCACTCCTGGCTCAACAACAACATAAAAAATAACATTTATTTATTTGTGTTCAAAGGGAAGGGAACAACTTGGCACGAATTGGTTCTTTCTGATTCTGATAGGCTTGGTGGAAAGTGCTTTTAACTTTCTAAGACATCCTGCCAAGCCTCCCCCAACAGGAATGTTTCTTTCCCTCCTTTATGTTTATTTCATGTACACTGGTGGTTTTGACTGCATGTATGTCTGGAACTGGAGTGACAGACAGTTGTGAGCCGCCAGGTGGGTGCAGGGATTTAACTCGGGTCCTCTGGAAGAGCAGCCATCTCTACAGGGTTTCTCTGTGGCTTTGGAGGCTGTCCTGGAACTCACAGAATAGACAGCTTTGGAGGCTGTCCTCTTGTAGACCAGGCTGGCCTCGAACTCACAGAGATCCACCTGCCTCTGCCTCCCTAGTGCTGGGACTAAAGGCATGCGCCACCAACGCCAGGCCTGATAAATGTTTCTTAAACTGCAGATTACCCAGCAGTGACTGACCAGAATTTAAAAAAATAAATAAAAGTACATTCATATATGGTAAAGGATGAGTATTTGTAAGAATTTTATTTCTGTTTTATTTGTCTTCCTTTTTTAAACAACAGCAGAGTCTTGCTCTATGGCCCAAGTTGAATATTTTTGTGTGCTTGCATTCAATTGTGATGAGCCAATATATGTTAAGTTAGTAGAGGCCCTTTGCACTGAGCATCCATTCAACCTAATCAAGGTTAATGACAAAAATGACCAGAGAAATGAGAAGGCTTCTGTAAAATTGATTTAGGGGAAACCTGTGAAGTGGTTGGTTACAGTGGTTAAAAGACTATGGCAAGCCGAGCATTGGTGGTGCAAGTCTTTAGTCTCAGCACTAGGGAGGCAGAGGCAGGCGGATCTCTGTGAGTTCGAGGCCAGTCTGGTTTACAGAGCTAGTTCCAGGACAGCCTCCAAAGCTACACAGAGAAACTCTGTCTCGAAAAACCAAAAAAAAAAAAAAAAAAAAAAAAAAGACTATGGCAAAGGATCTCCGGCCAAGATGTCATTAAGCACAAGAAATGAACAAATAAGAATCTGGCTCATTAAAAAAAAAAAAAAAAAAAACATTAATGTACAGTGCTCTCATTTACTCCTTTGGCTGTATCTATACTTGAAATGACAAAGAATTAGGCAGACACCATGGCTTATACAGCAGTCAGAGCCATGTTTACAACCCTAACTATAACTTCTGTTACTGAAATAGAGGCTAAGGATGGAGTGGTCATTAGCACATGTCAGAACCATGCAGGGGAAAGGAGAGTCCCCCAGATGCCAGTTCTCATCAGTAGCTCTGTTAAAAGGCAGGAATAGCTACTACACAAATGCCTGCTAAGATCAAAGGAAGCTAAATGCATGTTCTGGATAACAAAGTATCTATCCTGGTATCCCAGGAAAGTCTGGTTGAGAAAGAAATGCTTCTACACAAAAATCATTAAAATCCCTTCACTCTGGTCCATGCCAACTCTCTATACGAGATAATCTAATGCACACCAAACAGAACATGAAGTATACAGCAAGCCAGTCAGTCTCCCCAGTGACTGAAGCCAAAATCCTTGGAATCAGACCCAACTCCCTTACTCCTCTTTGGCTTACACTCCACACCTAATGCTTCAGCAGATCCTATTTTACCTTAACCACGTCCATATACAAAACAACTCTCTCCACTTCTATTGCTATTATGTTGGTCCAACATAATTTCTCCCCAAATTACTCTTAGAGTCTACCAACTGGTCCCCTCTCTTCTATTCCCTAAACATCTCTTCACCACACAGCAACCTGAAAGTCCTTCAAAACATAAATCTAAAAGATCAGTCATTGCTCTCTGCTTAAAACCAACGACTTCCCCAAAGAAGAATAAAAACCCATAACGGTCAGCAAGTCCTATCTGGCCGGTACTCTGGTCCTCATTCTCTAATTCTCTCCCTTTATCCACTTTCCTTGTCACCCTGGCAGCCCTGCTCTCTTTTCATACAAAGACATACCTACTTTCATATCAACATTGCTGCTTCCTGAATTCAGACTGTTCTGTCCCTTAGGAATTCCAAGTTCACTCTCTCCCTAGCCAACACACACACACACACACACACACACACACACACACACACACACACACATTCAAGTCAAGATAGCATCCACTCCTTTTACTTTATCTTTCTCCTCATTTACCACCATTATCAACCTATAATTTGGTTATTTATTGGCTGTCTTTCCAACCATAAATATGTAAGAACAGGATTTCTGAGTTAGTGTCACACATTTACTGTACCCCAAAGACAGCCAACAATGTTCCAGAATATAGTCGGCATTCAAGAAGTATTTGCCAAATAAACAGATGAATGAACAGCATACTAAGAGCTCCCACTATGCTGATCAAATTGAGTCCTCTACTTACCATACAAACTTCAAATCATTAAATGTCCTTAAAGATTTTAGTCCTGTGTTTTAAAAGAAAAAAATGGGATTAAGCCGGGCGGTGGTGCAGGCCTTTAATCCCAGCACTTGGGAGGCAGAGACAGGTGGATCTCTGTGAGTTTGAGACCAGCCTTGTCTACAAAGCTACACAGAGAAACCCTGTCTCAAAACAAACAAAAAAGTGGGATTAAGACTCTACCATATAAGATCGTTGAGAACACTAAATAAGTTAGCCTATGTCAAACTAAACACCCTCCCTACCTGGCAATCTTCCGGCTATCAATAGGCCAGACTGGTGCTTTATTAAATGTTAGTTTAGGCTGTTCATTTGAGACGGGGGTCTCACTATGTAATCCAAGCTGGCCTGAATTTGCTATATAGACCAGGCTGTCCTCGAATTCTCAGCAATCCTCCTGCCACAGCCTTCCAAACGCGGGGATTACAGCCATTACGCCCTGCTAATAGGTTAGCCTTTGAGCATGTGAACACGCGTAATAAAGGGCGAAACGTTATGTGGGTGTTTTGCCTTTCATAAATCGACCGTATTGGCCGACCTACAGCAGAGTCAGTTTAGAAAAGAAACGTAGTTCCCGATCCGTACCTTCGGAGAGGGGGAAGAACTGGACGCTCACAGCTCTCGTCATTTAACCAGAGGATTCAGAAGGCTGAGGCAGGAGGGCTGCCAGGAGCGAACTCGAGGCCAGTGTTGGCTACAGAGTGAGATCCTTGTCTCAAAACAAATTGTGACTACATTGTTCCCGAGACTCGGCGCGTTCTACCTCCCAGGAGCGCGCGCACCCAGGCCCCCGGCATCCCACTCCTCCCTTACCTTTCTCGGTCACCACGAAGCACTGCTTCACCGGACCGACCTGACTGAACAGCTCTTCCAGCTGCTCACTGCGAGCCGAGGGCGGCAGGCGGCCCACAAACAGAGTCAGACCGGCCATAAGACCGGGAAGCAAGCGTGTGAAGCCACGAGTAAGCCTCACCGGCGCGAGAGAGCGCAGGGATGAGCTCTGGCAGGAACACCGCACCAAATTGCCGGGAGACTCCGGAAGTACTCGTTGCTCAGAAGAGTCCGGGGAGGAAGCGCAGCGGAGAAGGAAAGATAAGTTCCGGAATGAAAAAAGAAAAATGACGTCCTGAGGGCGGAGCTTCTTGAGCGACGGTCTACGTGTAGTCCTAGCACCGCCCCCGCCACTAAATGAAACTTGACATCAACAATTTAGCCTCTCTTAAAATCTTTCATTTAGGAGATCGACCCCAAATTCACCAAAGCAGACAGAAGTCATTTTCCCTCGAAGCTGTGCCCACATGTGGTGACATAGAGTGGGTGGGTGTTCAATAAATTTTTCTGAAGGGTCTCCACAGATTCCCCAATCACACGCAAAACCTCAGCCAAAACGCCATAGACACAAGGATGTAGCATTCATTATTTGAACAATTTTAACATCCTCAGAAAACATGAGACAAAATGTCACCTGGCCTCGGAGACAAATTTTATCTACTAAAATTCTCATTGAACAAATACAAAATTTACATTTTCGATAATTATTGAGCTCCTACTACATGCCAGGCATTGGGGATAAAAACCGGTTGCCTGAAAAAAGGCAGGGCCCTGGCTTCATATAAAATAGTCTGGAGCGAGAGACAATTGTTTTTTTACTCTTACGAAAAGTCTGCACGATCATATCAGAGCACACCCAAGCCAAACATGACACCCGGCTATATGCACAGACCTAGAACACACTGCTGCCCAGAGAAAGAACATCTTCCTTCGTGTCTGTCATCAGACAGACTCCGGGCTAACCACAGTATTTGACACTCATAGGGTTCACTGTCTGTCCTACATGGAAAACTGCTGCACTTGCAAAATGCCTCGCTACTAAAAGTACCCAAGGCACTTTTTAAAATATTACTTTTAAATTACAGCCACATGGTAGGTAGAAAACACCACAAAGGATAAAAGGTGCAGTGAAAATTCCCGAGAGTCAGCCACCTTCCGTGTATTTTTGTGGAGATGAATGGATGACTTACTGGTCATGATGGGGGAATTCTAAGCATGAAATTCATGAAGTCCTAGCTAGCTTCAGATAAACAATATGTGCTTTGGGGGAAAAAAGAACCCATACCACAGTTATATTTAGATAGATAAATCAGGGGAAAGGGCACTGAAACACAAAAATATATTGTCAAGAATACCACTAAGTGGTCAGTCTTATTCAGCATAAAAAGTAAAAAGGGCAAAAAAGAAGAAAATTGATTTGGGATTCCATTATTATTTTCCCCCTTCACACCACCACCTTAAAAATCAAAATTATAACCCCAAATACTAAATTGTAAGTTTGGGGGACCTAGTCAAAGCTGTGGTAGATATAGGGGAGTTTAATATCCATTTATAACCCCCACAAAAATGTTTTAAATGCCCTAAATCTAATTTTTTACCTTAAAGAACAAAGATTAAAATCCCTAAGTCCACCAGGGGGCAGCAAATATCCATAGCGCAGGGTTCTATGTCCCTCCGTGAATACACAGTAAAACTGACCATCTTCCCCTTTATTCAGATGCGGATCCCTGTCTGTTTCCTGCCCCATCCTCTTCTATCCATTCATATCAGGGAGGGCTCATGGTTCTTCAGTCAAGAATATTTGCTCATCCATCTCCTCAGGACACATGCGGTGTTCTTTATTAAATAGCAGGCGTCACGGGACCCTGCGAGGTGGCTTCCAAGGGAAATAAACTGCCGGCCTATCCCTCATCCATCAATGTTGTGAAGCCTGGAAAGGGAGGAAGCCAGGCCCCATCCCTCTGGCTCCGCTCCTCAGTCTCCCCATAAGCCAAACCTTCTATAATACAGAAGTTCTAAGATAGTTCTGATTCTTCCCACTTCTCACAACTGTAACAATTGCTCGTGTTGTTAGTGACTCTGTATCTAGTGTCTGCCTTTCCTGCACAAGACCTAAAGTATCACATATTCATGGCTCATGCCCTTGTTTGCTCTTTTGTCCTCATCACATAACATTATGAGCATTCAACAAGGTTTTTTTGTTGTTGTTGTTTTATTTTGTTTTTTTAAGACAGGGTTTCTCTGTGGCTTTGGAGGTTAACTTGGAACTTGCTCTTGTTGACCAGGCTGTTCTCTAACTCACAGAGATCCTCCTACCTCTGACTCCCGAGTGCTGGGACTAAAGGCGTTCACCACCAACGGCCAGCTGAATATTTTTAATATAGTGGATGAATTCATGAATAAATGAAAGTTTGTCTCTCAATTCCTCCCAGTACTAAGATTTGGAGCTGCAGGATGTATGTATCAGGGTCGACCTTTAGCCCTCCTGTGAAGCCTGCTTTGGGTAAGGGATAAGGCCCAAGATAAAAAGGTGGGGCTAACCAAAGTCTTGGCTTCTTTGTAAGTGAAAGGGCTAAGGGTAATCTTTTTAATATTTATTTAGATTTTTACTCATGTGAGTGTAGGGGTGTGTATGAGCGATATGTATTGTGGAGAGGTTCCCTTGGAGGACAGAAGGGAACATCAGATCCCTAGAGCTGAAGTTAACTTTTGATTGTGAACAGCCCAATGTGGGTTCCGGGAACTGAACTCAGATCCTCTGGGATAAAAGAAATTTCTCTTAATCGCTGAGCCATCTCTCCAGCCCTAGAAGTCATTCTTATGAAGGAAAATCAACAAAGCATTGGATCTGGTGAGTAAAGAGAAATATCCCTTTTGCCTCCTTCCTTTCTCATCAGCTGCATTCGAGCTTTCAGACAGAAAGCAAGTGTCTGTGAGAGATAAACAGAGACACACCGAATGGGGAAGCTCCAGATTTGGCCTGCCGTGCTCAGGGGAGGGGAATACATGAAGCCAATTGGGTTCAGTGAGAAGAATGAGCAAGAGAGAGCAGCTGGAGAGGATGAACTTGAGGAAGAGGTGACAGAGAAGCTGGGGACAAGCAGTTGTAGATGAGCAGCAGCTGGAAGGGGAAATGAGGTAAGTTTCCCCGAGCAGCAAGCATTCCTTGCATGAGACAATGCAGGGCCAGTGATGAGCCCACTGCAGCCACTATGACACCAGTGAGAAATGCCTGTAATTAGGAAGCTGGCAGTTCTCTGGGCCTCTGCCCAGAGTGAGGACGCAGCAAGAATTTCTGAGCCACGACAAGCCAGGTGACGGAGGAGGCACAGCCAGGACCACTCCTGGTCCGTCCCTCAGCCTCACCTGCACCACTGCCGCCAATTTCTCTTCTCCACCAGGACGCTTATTCTCCCTCAGATGGTCCTGTCTCCCTTCCTCCCTCTGAGGTCTGAGGCCCTGATGTACTCCTCAATCAAAACAAATCTTCATTTGCAGGGAACAAAGGCCTCAGCCCCTCCTCACCTCCCTTCCTGCTTCTCTCTTGGCTCCTTGCCACCTTTCTCCAGTCCCCATTAGCTGACAATCCAAGTTTAGGGTGTGTGTGTGTGTGTGTGTGTGTGTGTGTGTGTGTGTGTACATGCATGTCGATCACTAAGATTCTTGGCTTTTTCCACTTTGAACCTAATGTGTATGCCTCTGCAGGTCTCTCCGAGATAACGGAGAGCATCTGCCAAACACTGCCAGCTTTTCATTTTCAGACCTGATCCAAGACCCTGCTTCTGTATCACTATGAACATTTTAGCCAGGTGACAAATGAAGAGTATATATAACTGGAGGCTGAATACTCCAGGCAAGAGAAGGATACTCCCTTCTGGTGGCTGGATGTGCTTGTGGGTCTCTGTGTTGTGAGTGCTACTTTGACAACAGCTGGGACTGTGGCAAGAGGTGGACAGTGGAGACAGACTTTCTCCATTGAGGACCTGAGAAGAGAGCTCTGTGGGAAAGGGGGCTGGAGTCCTTGTGAGCCCAGTTCAAAGAAGCCCTGTTGATGAGAAAAGGCAGTTTCCTCTTTGTAAATTCTCATGGGAAGTTGGCAGGCGTATTTTTGGATAGCCCAACCTGTGTCCATTTTTCCATAAAGATCTTTATTATGAACTAGCTCCTAGGAAGCTGTCTCCCAAGACCTGATGCCAGGCTCTGAGGATCTCAGGCATTTCACCAAGGGCTAAGGTGTCCTGCCCCCACCTCTCAGGACTCTCAGGACTGTGTCCCCTCTAGAAAAAGTCAGATGAGCAGCTTCCAGGGTCTGCTCTCAGAACTCACTCACCACAAGAATCCTCACTTTTGTGTGAAGGTCCCCGGGAGTCTGAGGCAGAACCACTCCACTTTCACTTCTGGTGGAACTGCTGAAGTTGTATCCCCCTTTAAGCTTTTCCAAGAAGGTGGGAACATTCTCCTCAGAAAATACTTTATTGATACATTGACTCTGAAAACGCCCATTTCCCAACCAGCTGCTGTAAGGTCTCTTGGATGGGCCACAGAGCCATCTTCAGGGGATGGTTCCATGAAGGGAATGGCAAGGTGTGTATAGAGCCCAGACAGGGCCCTAGGTCTTCTGAATTTAGCTGTCTCACTCAGCACCAGGGTGAGGGTGGGGGTGGGGGTGAGGAGTGGAGCACCTTGGAGCTTATTGCTGGTGAAGGCCAAGGAAAGTGAGACCCTGCCAGCCTAAAATTGCAGCTGGGGTCGTCAGCACCCACGGCTCCAGAGAAGTCGGCACTGATTCCCAATCCACAGAGCCTGGTTGCTGACCTACCCACCCAGGGGCCCCTGGATGAGGAGGAATCAAAAAGAGGTATCTGAACCAGGCAGAATTGGGGAATGATTACAGTGTGCAGGTCTTGGGCAGATGAGAAGCCAGAAAAGGGGGCAAACGGTTTGGCTGTGAGACAGCCGCCTCTTCACAGGTCTATGGTGTCACTGCCGACGCTCAGCTCGTCAATCTGTCGGCAGGCATCCAGGAATTGCTCTTGCAGCAATGCCTCCTCAGCCTGCAGCTCAGAAGAATGTTCAGGGGAGTCGAGGGAGGGTGGGGATAGGGCCTGGTAGGATCCTGAGGCTGGGAGACTGGGGCTGCTTCCTGAGGGCCGCGGGGGACTGAGGACGCAGACTAAGGGACAGCGCGGGGGCCTGTCAGGACTGGAACACAGAAGCATGGACGAGCTGTCCCGAGAGAGTCCACACAGAGAGCCAGATGAGGCGCTGCTGCCTGCGGGCCAGGCCCCAGGAGAAGGGAGCTCAGGAAGTGCTGGAGATCCAGGGACCTTCTCCGATCTCTCTCTGGGTCCCGCCCCTGTCTTGTTGCCCAGTGAGATCGTGCGGTAGAGGCCGACCCCAGGAAGGGCTTCCCCAAAGGCAGCGCCCTGAAAGAGGCCAGGAGCCAGCAGCGCCTCACTGCAGAGGGCCTCCTCGATGCTGCGCCGCAGGTTGATGGGTGAAGGCGGGCGGAAGTCCACCGTGCAATCACTGCTAGGGGAGGAGGCTGTTGATTGCGTCGGTTTGGCCCCAGCACCTTCGAAGCAGAAGCAGCCGCCACCCTGGAGTAGGAGATCGGGGCCTGGGCCAGCCAGGGCACACAGCTGCAGCAGCTCCGCGTCCCCACGCGCGATCGTGCTACCCAGGGGCTCCTTGTCCCGGGTCCCCCGGACCCAACCTCCTGGCAGCAGCGGGGCAGCGTGTCCCGGCGACAATCGGAAGAGCTTGGCCCAGCAGCGCCTTGGCACACGTGGGCTGCAGAGCGCGGGGTAGAGACCCAGCAACGCCAAAGGGAGCGCTACACCCACCTCGCCCAGACGCAGCCCTAGCTGGAAAGCCCACCAGGGCCAGGGCCCCTCCAAGCCCACTTGGGCGCCATAGCCCAGGGCGTGAAGCACCTCATAGCCCTGCAGAGCTCCGCTCAGCAGCCCAAAGGTACCGGCCACCGGGGCTGTGCGCGCCGCGCGCCTCCAGGACTCGCGCGGGGCGAAGGGACTGCGCACTTGCGGGACAGGCGTAGCGCCCTTAAAGCCAGATCCTCCCAGGGGTGCTCCAGCCCCCAGC